CGGATTCGGGGCTCGATCCCAGGACCCTGAGATCATGACCTGAGCCAAAGGCAGAGGCTTAACCCACTGAGCCACCCAGGCGCCCCTACCAGCACCCTTTTTAAAAGTAGCTAATTTTTTAGCAGATGATGGTCAGTTGTGTTCGCGGTTCATGGATCTATGTGGATATAAACAACTCTTACTATGTAGGATTTGTATTCTATGTCGCATGCTGTCTTACACCAAACTGTGTCTGTATTTGTTATTTTTATACCCAATCTAGAATATTCTGTAATGATCTTAGTTACTTTTTTTTAATGTGGTGAAATACACATCACGTGAAATTTACTATCCTAACCATTAAGGCTGCGTTATGGGAGTGGCCTCCACACAGGGCTGAGTGAGTAGATGGAACCGGGGCATCAGGGGTCTTGGTACACTGGAACCTGCTCCTTGGGGCACCTGGCAGGACAGGGCGGCCAGGCTGGGAGTGGGGGTGTCCGTGTCCGTGACATCTCGGGCTCTGCTCTGTGGGAGAGGTTGGGGCTGGAGCTTGGCGTCCGGCAGATGTCTAGGACGTCCTCTGCCATCTACCACACTGTTGCCATTTGCCAAAGCTCACCCAGGGCCTGGCGGCAGGTGCTGTGTTGGTTCCCACGTCATGGATCGGTAAACTGAGGCTCAGGAAGAGGAAGTCACCTGCCCAGGGTCACACACAGGTCCAGGGTGGTCCTGGGATCAAGCCACGTCTAATGGGGAAGCCCGAGCCCTACCTTTTCAGTTCTTTAAACTCTAAAAAAAATTAAACTTTTATATTATGGAATTTGTGCATGTTCAGTACATGGAGCTAGTAATAATAAACAAAATAAAAAGATCCTTCCCTGCCTCCTTTCCACTGCATATGACACTTGACTTGTAGGGACTGTTGGTCCCAGAGCATGACTCTGTCTGCAGTGTCCAGGGGACATGTCTCTAAGGGAAACATAGAAGCTGAGAATGAAAAGGTGGGTGGGAGTCAGCAGGGTAGGGAGGGGAAGTGAAGGCTGAACAGAATTGGTGCCGAGTGATGGCCCTGAGCCAGGGCAAGACGTAATCTTCCCCAGCCTCAGTTTCCCCATCTGTAAAATGGGCACAATCGTCCTTGCCTCCTGGGCTCATTGGGACCATGGGGTGAATTTAGTCTTAGAAGGCACGTAGCCATTTGCCTGGCTCTCAGTAGGCCCCGGTAGTAGCTGTCACTCAGGAGCACAGAAGACTCAGGTGCCAGACCCCCTCTAGCTCATGGGGTTCCCAGAGGACGTCTAGTTCAGTGGTTCTCAGCTGGAGTGGTTCCACTCCCGGGGGATATTTGGCCCCTGTCTGGAGACACCTTTGTCCCAGCTTGGGGGCAGGCACTACGGATAGCTAGCAGATGGAGGCCAGGGCCACAGGACAGCCCCCCCCCCCCGAGAATCTTCCAACCCCAAATGTCAGAGGTGCTGGGGTGGGGAAACCCTGCCTCCAGAGCTGGTCTGAGTCACTTATTTTAGCAGCAGGGAAACTGAGGGGCATTGCAGGGTAGGGATTCCTCGAGGTCCCTCTCCCAGCGAGACAGGATGGGGCCAGGCTTGGCGTAGCTTTCCTGTCGGCTGCGTGTCTGAAGGAGAGCGGAAGGGACCTGGGCTTATTGGAACCTGAGGCCTGGCCCTGGGAGGGGGATGGGGTCACGTCGCTCAGTCGTCCTGGGGACAAAAGTCCTGGACATGCACTTCATCACGAGACAGCAGCCCCTCCCTCTCCACCCCTGCAGGCAGTGGGGAGGGGGCATGTGCTGGGGTGGGGTGTCCCACCGCTGGAGGGTAGGCGGCGCCTCAGGACTGGACCCTTTTGTGAAGTCCCAGCCCAGAGCTGTGACAACTCACAGGGTGAATTAGGAGTCGGGGTAACCAGGGTGTCTGGGACAGCTCCCTCATCTCTGCTCCGGCAAGGCAGGGTGCCCCCGCCTTCTAATGATGAACAACGGGGTGGCACAGTGGTTGGGGGGCACGTGCTTTGTGTTTCCATCGGCTGGAGGAGGGGTAGGTGGGAGGCAGGAGACCTGGGTCTGAGGCCTGATCCTGCTGCTAACGATCTGTGCAACCTTGAGCTGCTCTCTCGCCCTCTCTGGGACCCCTAGTTCCCTGTTGCAGAGGGTAGGGGGACATCTGTGGTTCTCTAGCCATCTGAAGGAAGCTCTCGGGTTCTGGCCAAGGTCCTCGGGGATCAGGGAGGCACCAGATGCCTGGGCTCGCCCTCCCTCTGTCCCTGCCTGGCAGGTTGTATGCCCATCCGTCTATCCGTCCATCCATCCCTCTCTTTGGACAGACATTTACTGAGCCCCCCTCGTACACCAGCGCCTGTGCTGGGCACGGGGCACCGCTGGGTCAGGGAGATTACAGTTGGATGGGGACACAGCCTGGAGACAAACAGGACATGGTGTGCTGGGGTCTCCAGGGGCTGAGGGAGAAGAGGAGCCTGTGAGGCCCTAGGGGTTGAGTGTGGAATGGGGAGGTGCCCGGCAAGAGGAGGCCAGGCCATTGGGCAGCTTCTAATTGGCTTCTCCCCCTGCAGGTGGGCTTCCCGGGGCCCCACTGTGACAGCCTCTGCAGGGGCAACCGGACAGGCCCCCCAAATGCTCCCCACTGAAGCTGGCCTCCTGCGCCCCCGCCTGCCCCCGGTTACCCCCGCAGGACCTCCGCTGCGGGCTCAGGCAGCTGCTCTCCGAGCTGAGGGCTCCTGCCGCTGAGCTAACTGCCTTCCATCCCGGCCAAGAGCCCGCCCCCCTGGGGAGCCACCCGCAGGGACCCTTCGGGGAGGCTTTTGTCTTCTCTTTATTGTTTTTAACAGTCTCTGCGGATCATTTAAGTAACATATATCCATTGTGGGGAAATGAGAAGCTCAGGGGGAGGCTCCCCAATCCGGCATCCAGAGGGATCTGGGGAAGTTGGAGCCTGCCCCCACAGGACCCCCAAGTCCTGGCACCAGACACTTCCCTTCCTCCTGCCCAGGGACCTGTCTTGGCCAGGGAGCCTGGGCTCATGGACCAGATCTTGTCCTTGAAATGCTCCTTCTCCCTGGCTGTGTGTGTGTGTGTGTCATGCCTGGCTATGAAGCTTGGACCAAGAGTACCCCGCTGGGAAGGAGAATTTAGGGGAGGGAACTGCATGGGCTTGGGTCCCTTCCTGGTTCCAGTGGTGGGAAGGGCGCCCGACCTCTTGCCTCATCGGTGAATCCCGGCATCACAGAACCCACCTCGAAGGTTAAAGGTGACTCATGAGGAACAGCCTTGAAGACTGAGCTCAGCACCCGGGGTTTGGGGACTGTTGCCAAAGGTCCAGGCGGAGGGTGAGGTGGGGGCCGCCATGGGTTACAGAACAGGGACCTGGCTTCCCTGGGCCTCTGCTGCCTCGAGGTGCCCAGGTGGAGGGCCGGCTATGGGCGCCCACTTCAGCCCACCCCAGGCATGAAGCCCCCCACCGCATTCCATCTTCTGGCCTCCCCTGCACCCCAGCAACGCTCATGCTCGAGGAGCAGCTGATACATTAGCAAGAATCTTCTTTTCTTTTTAAGATTTTATTTATTTATTTGACAGAGACACTGTGCTTACAAGCAGGGAGGGCAGCAGAGGGAGAGAGAGAAGCAGGCGCTCTGCTGACCAGGGAGCCCAATTCAAGGCTCAAACTCATGACCTGAGCCTAAGGGAGACACTTAACCGACTGAGCCACCCAGGCACCCCTCTTATTTTCTTGTTCACATCTGATCTCAGTTCTGAGGCTGTAGATCCCTGAGTATCCTACGTGTCCCTTTAGGTCCTTACGTGTGAAGTGTCCCCCCCACCCCCGCCCAGGCACGTTAGATTGTTCCCTGGGGGCAGGAGGACAGCGGGTGCCCGGAATCCCCTCCCTGGACACGAGGGTCTTGGAACAATGCGGCAGGTGAATTTCAGCGACCCTGTGTCTCTGAGCATCTGGTCTCTTCAGTGTCTGCCTGCCACCCAGCTCCAGTTTGGATTGCAAGGATGAGCAAGTCCCCCTCCTGAGCCTCAGCTTTCCCATCCTTTAAATGGGCTTAACTGCAGACTTGCTCACCGGCTGCGTGGGCGGCCCGGGAGAATGCGTGTGCAACGAAGGGCCCAGAGAGCTAAGTGCTGGGAGCAGATAATGGTTGATCCCTCGCTCCCTTCCCTTTATGCTGGGAAATCTCCTCCTCCAGTTGGGTTGCTAAGCTACACACAGGAGCCGACTCATGAATTGTTTTACAACAACTCATCTGAGTTCATAACACTAAAGATCTCTTATGCCCAGCCCTGGCGTAAGTATGTTACATGATCATCTCATCTGATCCCAATAAGATAGCTGTGAGAGCTGGCCCTTTTATGGATGAGGGGATGGAGGCTCAGAGATGGGAAGGCACTTGCCCAAGGTTGCACAGCCAGCAAGGAGCAAAGCTGGGATTTGGAGTACAAAGCCAGGCCGCTGTCCATGGGCTCTGTGGCTGCAGGATTCTGGAACAAACCAGAGCACCCTGTGAGCTCGATGCCCTGCTCCCATGTCCTTCAGCGCAGATCCCTGGGAACAAAGGTGGGGGAGGGGGTGTGCATATTGTGGGGTGCAGGCGTGTGGGAGGAGCCAGCTGCCGGCCCCATATGGTGGCTCTGCCTACTCTGTGGTGTCAGGAGGGGCTCAGTGGAGAAGGTGGGGGAGGCAGGAGTGGTTGGTGTAAGAGCGCTACTTTGGGGAGCTGGTTTGGGTGAGTTTTGTTTTAGCCCCGCTGCGTGGCGGGTGGGCAGGCTGGGGGGTTCATTCTCATCCCCCTTACACGGATGAGGCTCTGAGAGATGCAATCACCTGTCCCAGGTCACCCAGCTGGCCAGAGGCAGAGGATGTGCAGCCCAACACCCCCACGGGGCTCACAGCCTCCTGGGGTGCTGGGTGGGGGGCTGCTGGCAGGGGGGTGATGTCAGTGCCTCCTTTCCCCTCTCTCGCCTGGTCTGCTACCTCTAGGTACAAAGGCTTCATCAAGGACTGCCCCAGCGGGCAGCTGGACGCTGCAGGCTTCCAGAAAATCTACAAGCAGTTCTTCCCATTTGGAGATCCTACCAAGTTCGCCACGTTTGTTTTCAACGTGTTTGATGAAAACAAGGTGAGCTGGGCATGGACGGGGCCCGCGCCCGGCCCAGAGCCCCCTTCCTCCTGCAGGCGCCCGCCGCACCTCCACACCCACGTTTTTCTGCCAGCGTTCCCTTCTGGAGAAGGCACACACACGCGCACACACATGCGGTGTGCACATGCACACACATGCACACACGCCTGCATATGCACACACGTGCACACACGAACGCAACGCACACACTTGCACCTGCTCCACGGAGACGTACACGCGTGCACACATATGTATACCTTGACCTTTTTCTTACAAGCACAGAATGCAAATGCCTACAGGGATAATAACCAGATTTAGAATCATCCACACTGACATCCACTGAGCACGGACTGTGTGCGAAGCTTTCTGTGTGGACTATTTACAACCAGCTCCCTGTGGGGTATGTCCTTTGAACACCCCCGTTTTGCAGATGGGGAAACTGAGGATCTGAGCAGCATACAGTACGGCGGCGGGGGGGGGGGGGATTCGCCCCCGATTGCTTTCGCAGAGCATCATGTTTTCGAGTCTCATCTTGGCGGATCCACTGTCAGGCCCCCACAGTCCTCAGCACCGTGTCCCACGCCTGTATTTTTCCAGGCTTCCTCGTGTTCACGGTGGATTTACTGTAACTTGTTTTCGCATTCTGTCATGTTGGGCCCTCAGACTTGGATTGCCACACCCCGGCATTCTCCCCAGGTGCCCTCAGGCTGACAGTCACACTGCCTGGCCCTGGGAAGAACTCTGCCCTCCCCAGGCCTCAGTTTCCCTATTTGCAAAATGAATAGGTGGGATTAAACAATCTAGAGCCTTGCCCTCCTCCAAAGTCTGGGAGCCTGTGGCTCTGAGCCAAGGGGAAAGGGGATCTCCAGGCGGCCCTTGCCCACAGAGGGGGTGTGTGTGTGAGCGGCACCTTCTGGCTCTTTCTCCCATCAGATGTGGAGTTGGACTCTGCCTTTGGCCTCACTCTTTCTGATGTTCCTTCTGCCTGGCCTGATCCATCTGTGATCCTACCTCCCACCCCGTCCCTGTCCCCTCTCTCCTATCCTCTCCGCCTGGGTGTCTGTCCTTCGGTTGTGGGTATCTGGTGCCTGCCATCGCCCATCACACACCCAGGGCCCGGCCTGACCAGAGATCCAGTACTGACCGGGGCCACCCTGCCCCTCTCTCCCGTCAGGACGGGCGGATTGAGTTCTCTGAGTTCATCCAGGCGCTGTCGGTGACCTCAAGGGGAACCCTGGACGAGAAGCTTCGGTGTAAGTCCTGTCCCTGGGTTCTGCCAGGCAGCCCCTGGCTGGGTCCTGGATGTTGGTCCAGGGCTGAGAGATGGCACAGATGTTCTGCCTTTATGGGTCAGAGGAGCTTCCCTGGGGGTGACCATGGAGAAGGAACACAGCTTACCGAGGCAGGGTGGACAGATGGGGCTGTCAACAGGTGTAGATGAGGACCGCAGGTAGTGTAGCCTTTGTGTTAAAAGACCCGGTTCCGGCGCTGGCGCTGTTTTGATGACCGGCTCATTCATGCACTTACTCACTCACTCAGCAGAGATCCACAGCCACGGCCACAGCCACAGCCACAGTCCATGCTGGCAAGGAGGCCGGGGAGCCATGAGAGAAGCACACAGGCAGGCGACCGCTCCTGTGGTTGTCAGTCTAGCCTGGGAATGTGATTCGGAAAAATCCCATAAAACCGCCACCGAGGCAGGAAAGGGAGGGTGAGCAGACAGGAGCAAGCCGGGCTCTGTGAGGGGTCAGGAGCTGAGCCTGGCAGGGGGAGAGCTGGCGTGGGTGGGAGGAGGGGAGAAGGTGTGTGGAACAGGGGAACAGCATGTGCGAGGCCCCAGGGCAGAGCGGACAGGGGCAAAAGGGAGTCTGGAGACTGGGTGGAAAGAGCTGAGCCAGAATCCACCGCTCTCTTGGGCCTTTCTGCAGCATGGCGCTGGCAACAAGAAAACAGTGGTTTCTTTTTCCCCCTTCTCCTTCTTCTTCTTCTTTTTTAGGAATAAAGGAGGATTTTATTCTTGTAAAATCTACCCCCTCCTCACCCCCATTCCGGGCATATTATTTTGTTTTCTAAGTTGACCCCATAGCAGGAAGCTACGTGACTGCGGGAGGGGAGTAAGTTCGGTGGAGAGGAGGCTGACACTTGGGGTGGGGGACCAGCTCTGCAGACCCAGAGACCCCTTCATTTTACTTTTAGTTCCTTTAAAAAAAACAAACACACAACCCTAGTTGAAATGGTACCTGTGTCGATGTGTGTGTGTGTCTGTCTGTCGGTCCCTGTTTGTCCTGATGTGAATCCTATTTGCGGAGGAGTAGTGGGGCTCCACGGCAAGCTGAGGGGCTGGAGGTGGGCGGGGGGGGGCGGGAACAGAGCCTGTCAGGCCCCGCCCCCCGCCTGGGGTGACTCCGCCCCGCTGCTCGATCACAGGGGCCTTCAAGCTCTACGATCTGGATAACGACGGCTACATCACCAGGAACGAGATGCTGGACATTGTGGACGCCATTTACCAGATGGTGGTGAGGCGTGGGCCCTGCGGGGTAGGAGAGGCAGCAGGAGCCTCATGTGTAGGGACAGGGCCTGGTCGGCCCTTAGAGGGAGTGCGCTCCCGCAGCCGCTCTCTTGCCCGGGCTGGGTTGGCCAGCAGAGGGGTCGTCGCTGCGCATCTGTGAGGTGGCCCTCGGCTGGGGTGTCTGTGGGGCTGAGGGGGGAGGGGCAGAGCTTTCTAGGGCAGGAGGCAGAGAGGGCAGGGGTGGAGGCGGGGGAGAGCAGTCCGCATCGGGAGCCCGCCCAGATCTGGCGGCATATTTTTGGCCGGGACCCCAAAGCCGCATGGCCAGGAGCGCAGCCCCCAGCGTGTCTCTCTCTGTCAGGGGAACACCGTGGAGCTCCCCGAGGAGGAGAACACCCCGGAGAAGAGGGTGGACCGGATCTTCGCCATGATGGACAAGGTGAGCTGCGGCTGAGGCTGGTCCTTGGCCAGGGAGGTAAGGCGTGGGGGCGGAGGCCCTGGGCCGCAGTTGGGGGGGCGGTGCAGACCCTCGGAGATGCAGAGCCTGGTCCATGCAGGCCAGCAGCCATCCGCGTCAACTGTCCAGAGTTTTAAGAAAGTTAAGCCAGCACTTCTTTCCACAGCCAGGATTCTTAACCGTTTTTACTTCTTGACCTGGACCCCTTGGGCGTACTGCAGAAGACTCTGGGTGTCTCAGAATAACGGTTTTCAGCACATCGAATCAAGTCTATTGGATCAAAAAGGAAGCTAATGGTTTTGGAATACAGCCCTCAAAATATTTTTTAAAAGAATCTGTGATATAGCATTCTGTACGCTTCTTTATGAACAGGTTTAAGAAGAAGGTGTAATGGTGGGTGTCACCACCCCCCAGTTTCAAAGCGATGGCAGGCATTCGTGATGCCCGTGGTGTCTGTGATGTGCTGTGACATGGCCCGTGACTCCCACCATTGACACAGGTCCCAGGTGCGGCTGGTTCTCTTGGGCATTGTCACCTACTAGCATCGTGGATGGAAAAGCTATATTTCAGTTACGAGTTAGTGAATAGAAAGACCTCATTTTGGGGCACCTGGGTGGCTCAGTCGGTTAAGCGTCTGCCTTTGGCTTAGGTCATGATCCCGGGGTCCTGGGATCTAGTCCTGCATGGGGCTCCCTGCTCAGCAGGGAGTCTGCTTCTCCTTCCCCTTCTGCCTGCAGCTTTGCCTGCTTGTGCTCTCTCTCTCTGTCAAATAAATAAAAATCTAAAAAAATAAAAGAAAAAGAAAGAAAGACCTCATTTTTTTCCCATCTAAGTTTACAGACCTGCTGCATTCTAGCCACAGACCCCCTGGGTAAGAAAGTCTTGTTTATATCAAACTCTTTTTTAAAAAGCGAGATAACTTTGTTTTTATTGGAAATTTGATATGGTGAGAGTAGGGCAACCCAGTGTTGCTTGCCTTAAATCAAAGAACACAAATTGCCATGACAGAGGGCTTATTTTTTTTTTTTTAAGATTTTATTTATTTGACAGAGAGAGCACAAGCAGGGGGAGTGGGAGAGGGAGAAGCAGGCATCCCCAATAAGCAGGGAGCCCGATGGAGGGCTCAGTCCCAGGATCCTGGGATTACAACCTGAGCCAAAGGCAGATGCTTAACCGACAGAGTCACCCAGGATCCCCTGACAGTGGGCAGGATCCAGGTGCCTGCCCGGAAAGCTTGGAGCCAGAGATCAGCACATGTCAGACAGCGAAGACCTCTAGGTTCAGACTGCGCAGGTCTCTTGGTGGTGATCAAAAGATGCGTCCACAGCATGTGGAGTGAGGGATACTGACATTGTACAGGATGGTTCGATGCTGTTTAATGGCAAGACCACACGATCCTTAAATCTCCCTGACTCATACCTCCTTTATGTAGGGAAACCGAGCCCACCACCCACACAGACTGGTGTAAATTCTACCTTCCCCAGTCACTAGCCATGGGATCCTGGGGTGGTGACAGAGCCTCAGTTTCTTTACCAGCAAAATGGGGATAAGAGCAGTGCCTCTTCTTAGGGCGGCCGTGAGGAGCCTCTGAGACCATGCATGAGACGTGCAGCTCAGGGCCCGCAGTGAGCCCTCTCTCCGGGTTCTCCCAGGTTTCCTTGAGAGATGCTCCAAGACAGGGATTCTGGTCCAAATCACCGTTAGCCCGAGAGACCCACTCAAGTCCTTTTTTGTGAGCTCTGTTGGGTCTCCTGGCGTCTGGGGTGGGCTGCTCTAGGAGTGGTTTAAACGCCCTTGCAAGAGTGACCCCAGAGAAATGCAGTGGGCTCTCAGCCCTTGGGGATTGACTGCCATTTATGGGAACTCATTGCAATGATAATGATAAGTATGGCCTTAGGGGCCTTGGGTCACGTGCCCAAGGTCACCTTGCTAGGAAGTGCCCGGGTCTCTCGGATACCCCACTCCTCCTACCTAGTGAGCGGCACTGCCTCCCTCCTGCCCTAACTTTGGAAGCTCTCTCAGGGCCAGTCCTGGGATGGACTTGGGAGCAGGGGTCCAGGGTCCAGGCCCGAGGTCCCTATCCTGGGAGGCTGGTTGTCCCCTCACCTTCAGCCACCTCTCTCTGCTTGCAGAATGCCGACGGGAAGCTGACCCTGCAGGAGTTCCAGGAAGGATCGAAGGCAGACCCTTCCATCGTGCAGGCACTGTCCCTCTATGACGGGCTGGTATAGTCCAGGGCCCAGAGCCAGGGTGAGTGGAGGGGGAACCGGGGCTTGGAGTTAGGGGCGGAGGTGAGTGGGAAGCCAGTCACAGGACACTTGGGATTCACTGGGTCTCCTGGGGGTCCTCGGGGCCTGTCCAGTTGGAGCTGAGCTGGTAGGAGGTGGCCTGGAGCTGGAGTTACAATCAGCTACAGCCCCTCTATCTTTGTCATTTTTATATGCCCCAGTTTGGCCCGAGAGTTTGCTTAAGTAGAAGTGTCCCTGGATTGGAAACGCTTTGAAAAGCACGGTTGTTGGGAGGCAGCAGGGTGGGGAGCGAGGGCCACGTGCACCTCCGTGTGTGGCCCGTGGAAGCCCTGAGTGAGCCCCGAGTCTCTTGCTCAGTAGCTCAGATACGGTTTCTTTTTCATCCAGTCGAGTTTGCTGGACGTGCTGAGTCGTAGCGCCCGGAGAGGCCTCTGTGGCCGCAAGAGGACTGTCTCCCTTTGTCTTCTTGATTCTCCCCTACCTCTTTTGTCTGCCTCCTCTCTGTTCTGTCCTCTGTGCTGTGTGCGAGGAATGGGGGCGTTGACCACCCCCACAAGGTCATTCTTGAACGGGCCTTCTGGTGGATGGACAAGGTGTTCCCTCAGTGTGCATCTGGGGAGGATTGTGGGACATAGGTTATGTGTGCGTTGGCTCCACTAGAGGCCACTCGAGTGTTCCCGTGTGGCCCCCCATTTTGGACCCTGCCAGCACTGTCTCAGAGTTCCAGTTCCTCCGCAGCCTGGCCAATGCCGGATATTTCCTGTCTTTGACATTTTACACATTTTGTGGGGGGGTGTCATGATGGCTTGTAATTTTAGTTTGCCTTTCTCTGGTGAGCATGGACGTCGGGGACCAAACCCTTTTAGGAAGTACCATCTTAGTTATCTGTTGCTGAATGCTAGGTTACCTCAAAGCAGGCACTGAAAAGATCAGACATCAGGAATTTGGGCACAGCTTAGCTGGGGGCCTTTGGCTTAAGGTCTGTCATGAGGACGTAGTCAAGCTGTCAGCCAGGTGACCAGCCATCCCCGTTTCCCCGGGACTGTCCCAGGTTTAGCACCAAGAGACTTAAGTTCTGGGAAACTCCTCAGCCTCAGGTAACCTAGATAAGCCTCAGCTGCTGGCCAGGGCTGCGGTGTCATCTGAAGTCTTGGTGGGGGGACACCCACTTCCAAGCTCACTCATTTGAATCGGCAGCCTTGGTCACTGTGGGGACTTCTGCATGGGGCTGCTGGCTTCCAACAGGGTGAGCTTCCCAGGAGGGAGGGAGAGCGAGAACCCGAGTTGCAGGCGTCTATCTTTTTATAACCTGATCTTGGAAGTGACCCCTCACTGGTTTTTTTTTCAGGAGTGCCTGGGATACATTAGGCTATGTGCATTTCTATATAGATTTTAGAATCAATGTATCCATTTCTATACACACATATGCACACAGTGGAATTTGATTGGGATTGAGGTGAATCTACAGTTCAGTTTGGGGGAGAATTGGCATCTTTGTTGTGTGGAGTGTTCCAATCCATGAACATGGTATATCCATTCATTCAGGTCTTAAATATTTTTCCTCTAGGACATTTTATTGATTTCAGCTAGAAGGTCTTTCACATCTTATGATAGATTTATTGCTAGATATTCAATTTTTTAAAAAAAATGTATTTCCCGTTTATTTCTGGTTTCTAGAAATTCAGTTGGTTTTTGTTTATTAATGTTATATCTAATGGTCGTGCTAACATCACTTATCAAATCTAAGAACCTACCCTCAATTCTTTGGGACTGTCTATGCTTTATTTTTTCCTCTCTTGTCCTTCCACCATCTTTGTCCTGCTTCCTTGCACTGGCTGGGCCCTCCATTGCAGTGTCACTTAGGAGTAGGGATGGTGAGCATTCTTGTCTTACCCCTGGTCTTGGGGGATAGCTTTCAATAATTCACTATTAGTTAGATTAGTTAAGTTACAGTTAGTCCAATAATTATCATTAGAATGTCTGGTATAGGTCTTCTATTGATAGGTTTTATCAGATTTAGAAAGTTTCCTTTTCTAGTTCACCAGGAGTTGTTTTTATTTATGTTTATTTGTTTTAAGCAATTACTACACCCCACATGGGGCTCGAACTCACAACCCTGAGATCAAGAGTCCCATGCTCTTCCAACTGAGTCAGCCAGGGACCCCTCCTAGGAGTTGTTTTTTTTTTTTTAAATAACCATGGAGAGTGTTGAGTTTTATAAAAGAAAATTTCTGCAACTATCAAGATGTTCATATGACTCTTCTCCCTTTTTGAGTGTTAACCTAATGAATAGCACTGATTGGTTTCTGAATGCTAAGCCTCCCTTGCATTCTTAGAATAAACTCCACTTCCACTATGATGTGTTAGCCTTTTTACGTATCATCAGATTTGATTTGCTGATGCTTTATTTTGGGGGCTTCTGCTGTTCTGAGGCTTCTATGAGGCAGCTGGTGCTGTTGATGAATTTACACAAGAAATCCTTTTCCATTGAAGAGACCTTAGACAATACATTGAAATAGAACACAAAAAGTTTATTTTTAAAAACCTTCATGTATAACCCAGATATAACCACTGTGAGCATTTTGGGTCTAGAGTGATTCAAAAGGAATGGAACACTCACAAAACTTAATACTCAGTAACTGGGTCACTTGGGGATATGTAATCAAACCAATTTCTAAAGGAATCATCCTAGTTGTTTCTCTGATCTTAGAAGCACTCGGTATGTGGCTCTGAGCCCCACGGTGTGTATGATCCATTGTCTCATTTCCCAGAAGCTTCTTTTGTGTATTACCACCAATGGCCTCATTGGCAGCTGTCCTGTGACATGCTGCTTTGTCTCCCGCAGGCCATGGAAAAAGTGGTACAAACATAGGTTCTTGATATATCCGCCCCCCAGAAAAACTCACACAGTGTCACTAATTTCTTTATGGTGTGCGATTATTTTTCAATCACCCTAATTGTTTCTGCCTTACGTTTTTTTATGAACACATATGTGTTTGTATTTCCTCAGCCACAATGAGTTCATAACCATATGTTGTTGGCTGTTTTTTTTTCTTTTTTTTATGAACAACTTATAGGAAACATTTATGTTTTCCTTTAGAGACTCAACACTTAGAAAAGAGATTTTTTTTTTTTTTTTAAGAGAGAGAAAGAGCACACAGGAGTTGGGGGAAGGAGCAGAGGGAAAGGGAGAGAGAGAATCTCAGGCAGGCTCCAGGCCACTGTGGAGCCTGATGCAGGGCTCGATTTCATGACCCCGCCGTGATCATGACCTGAGCCAAAGTCAGAAGTCAGATGCTTAACCAAGCCACCCAGGCACTCCAAGAAAAGAGATCTGTAGTGCCTTTTACCCAACTTGGCACAAAGTTCATGTCACGCTGTGTCTGCATGGGCTTTCCTAACACCATGTATGGAGACATCCATCTGAGTGTCAGCCGCAACATGGTGGCCAAGAAGATGTGACTTTATTTCCATGACAAGCTTTTCAAACAGCCTTTCTATAGCTCTTCCCCAAAATTGCCCTCTTCCTTTTCTCAGGCTTGTCCTAGAACCTACTGTGTAGTAATTATATCCAACTTGTGTTCCATCATTTTGGTAATGGATTTGCCTTCTCAGATTCCTAATGTATCCTAATTGTTAGATAAGTTACTGTTACATAAGTCACTGAGACACCCCAAAAGGGTGATCCTGTTTTCTATATCAGTAGAAAGGTGGTTTGAGACCACTGTTTTTAATAGTTGCATAGTATTCTGTTGTAGAGCTGGGCCATACTTTATAGAGTCCTGTGCTGCGGGACACTTGAAATCTTGAAGTGGATTTTTAAAAAAACTTCATAATTCACAAGCAGTGGTGGAGCGAATGGTGTAATCCCATTACTGACCATCCTCCTTCAGAATCACCAATTTGCCACCAGTCTTATACAGTCTATACCCTCCCTATGCATTTTGCAATTACTTTGAAGCAAATTCAAGACATTCTGTTATTTTATACGTAAATATTTCAAAATGTATTCCTGAAAAATATTGATCCTTTCCAAAATCCATAATGGTAGAAAACTCAATACTAATGCCTTACTACCCCCCCGCCCCGGCCTGTAGCTGGCATTCCCATTTCCTGTTACCTCGCGGGTTTTGTTCATTGGAATCAGAATCTGAGTAAATGCCATCCATAGCAATTGGTCAATAGGTCTCTCGAATTTATTTTAATCTGTGTTTCCCCTTCACTCTTTGTCGAGAAACATGTTCCACAGAGTCATCCGTCTGGGGTTTGCGGATGGTGCCCCTGTGGTGGTTCTCACGTGTTCTTCAGTTCCCTGTACTTCCTGGATCTACAGGCTTGCATGGTCCTCAGTCTGGTTGTTGTTTGTTGAGAACACCTCCCAGGTGGGGCTGTGTGTGTCCACCAGGTAGCTCGTGAGGTCTGGTTACATCAGCAGCCACTGGTGATGACCACTTCATTCATTCATTCTGTAGTTGACATCCTAAAGCAGTCTGTCCATTGTCGGTGGCTTGGTTGCTTCTACGCAGGAAATCTTCCCCTCGTCAACTATCTGGTTACTCCAAAGCCTACTTTTTTAACTGGAAACGCAGGATAGATACTCAATTCTTCCTCCTTTTCAGTTTTCAAAAGGAGTTGGTTTCCCAACGTCATTTTGAGGTGACCGGTGACTTTTTTTTTTTAACATACAATCATGAATTCATGGATTTAAATGCATTTCATGAGTTTCATCATGTCTGCAGTTTTAACCACAACACTGCAGATCACAAGGGTTCACAGATTGCCACAGAAGGCAAAGCTTGTGATTGGACACTCAGTCAAGTGCCCCAGGGTTGGCACGGGAACGGAAGGCTGAGAGGACGCAGGCCTTTCCCTGAGTGACTCCTCCCTCCACCACGGTGGCCCCCGATTCTGGTCCCGTGGGGCCTTGCTGTTCTTCCACGGCCCCCGCCACCTCGCTTCTGACTGACCCAGATGATGCTTTCAGGTCATGTCACACAGATCTGGGAAGTGGCCCCTTTTGGATCAGACACCTACGCCCGCGCAGTCAAGAGAGCAGAGACGTGCGATTTAAGTGGAGCAGGTTACGGGAAGGATCTGTGGATGGCGTAGATGCTGACAGACAGGACGGTCCTCCGTGCCTTTTTTCAAAAATAGATCAAGGTGAAATTCACCTAACTTAAAATTAACTATTTTGTTTAAAAAAAAAATGTTTTTTAAATATTAATTTATTTTAAGGAGGCTCCACACCAAATGTGGGGCTTGAACGCACAACCCTGAGATTAAGAGTCACGTACTCTAGTGACAGAGCCAGCAGGACGCCCCATCTCAGGGGAAATGTGGGTTCCAATCAACCATTTTCAAATGAACCAATTAGTGGCATTTCGTACATTCACGACGACGTGCAACCGTCCCCTCTGTCTAGTTCCAAAGCATCTGTATCCCTCCAAAATCAGATGCCATATCCACTAAGGGGATCCCTAGGAGTGGAAATGTTGGCTCCTGGGCTAACTCTGTGTTTAACTTTTTGAAGAACCCTCAGACTGGTTTCCATGCAGCCGCACCATCTTGCCTCCTCGCCAGCAAGGGTGAGGGTCCCCATTTCTCCACATGCTCTCCAACACTTGCTACTTCCCCGTATTCGGGGAGAGCCATCCTAATGGGTGTGAAGTGGGGTCTTAGGGTCTTCTTTGCCCTTCCTTGCTGACTCAGCCCACTGAGCTTCTAGGCCACGCCATGCGTTGGTTCTCAACGGTTATCTGTCACGTGATGCTCGGGCTGTGTCCTGGGTGTCCAGCCAGCTCCCCGCTAGTGGACACTGAGTTTGCTCCCTTCCTTTTTATTCTCCTGTTATAGATAATACTGATGAGGGAAGCCCCCCCTTTTTAAAAATTTTATTTAATTGACAGGGAGGGAGAGAACACAGGTAGGGCGAGCAGCAGGCAGAGGGAGAGGGAGAAAGAAGCAGACCCCTGCTGAGCAGGGAGCCCGACTCAGGACTCAATTCCAGGACCCTGGGATCATCACCTGAGCCAAAGGCAGATGCTTAACCAACAGAGCCACCCAGGCGCCCCCACCTGATCTATTTCTGAAGGATAAATACCGAATGGTGGATCAGAGGGTGTGCACCTTAAATTTCAGGACTTGTGACAGAATGCCACCCTGCCCCCTTGCTGACTCTGCCCCCAGGCCTGTGGGCGTGCATCCCTGGCAGCCAGCTCTGGGCCTGTCTCACCTTCTCGTGTCTTCCAGATGCCTGGGAACCACTCACCTCCTCCGAGCCGTGAGGCCCCCTCTGCCCCAACACCGCCCTCCTGTGTCCACCCAGCCTTTCTCCGCATCCACAGCCGGCCGGGCTGCCCTGGAACCGTGAGCCCCGGCTCTCCTCCCCCCTGCCCTGCGCCCACCGCCGCCTGAAGCCACCGGCTCCAATCGCCAACCACCTCTGCTTGTCCAGAAACCAACACGAAACGAAAAAGGCTCGAGCCTTCTGCAAAACCAAGGACTCGGCTGCTTCGCGGGCAGCCTCTGGGTCCCTCCCGCTCTCCTGTGCGTGTGCTTTTGTTTTTTATTTCAAACAGACCTTGAAAAAGAAACAAAAAACAAAAAACAAAACTACCTTCTGTCCTAGAAGGTGCAGACTGACAGATGGGGAGAAGGCTACCTTTGCGTTGACCTCAGAGAACATGGCCTCCCACCTCAGCCATCCTTCGGCAGCCGGAGAGGCCACGGGAAGTCAGGGCCACGGCCACGGTGCACTCGGGGTGGCGGGGGGTGAGGGGGCCCGCCGGATTACTGCTCTTTGTCATCCCATCCTCGAGCAGCGGAAACCCCCTGCGTGGCTAGGATGATTCATGATGAGAATGATTTTTGTGTGTGATAACAGTATTGTGCTTTTTGTGGGGAAAGTGAGTTTTTTTTATACATATAGAATTGATATCTTTTATTTATTGGTTGTTAACTGTTGCTGCTGCCTCGTGTGTCCAAAGCTCCCAGGGATGCGGGGCCTACCGTTTACATGTGCACGCCCTTGCCCCCTGCCCACCTGTGCTTGGGAGGATGGTGGCCGGCAGCGGCCAAGAAGCCAAAAAACTTTCTCTCTCTCTCTCTTTTTTTTTTTTTTTCCAGATACTGTGCTTGATGTGTGGAGAGGGGGAAGGGTAGGTCTCTTAAATGGCTGATGCACTGTTTCCCCCCCACCCCCAGCCCGAATGCTTCCTCTTGAACCCCTTTTCTCTGCTTCCTGTCCACGCTCCCCATCCTGTGTCCTCCTCTGAGTCCACAACATCTTTTCTGAGGACGAACAGGGGACATCTTTTGGTTTCACAACTCTTTGCTTTGGTGTTTGCTGCAGCATGGGGCCTCAGCACCGGCAGAGGAGTACTGGGTACATTAGGGAAGGGGAGGAGGGCACTCTCTGCAAGCACGTGAGCAGAAGGAAGGGCTCCTTCTCCCTCCGTGGTGGATACTTTGAAAACCGTCACTTAGTTCTCTCCCACTTGCTTTTCTGCCTGCCTGCCTTGTCCAGGAGACCACAGAGCATCCTCCTTCCCTTCCCTCTCTCAGCTCAGATGCTGAGAGGGAGGGCAGGAGAGAAGGGCCGCAGGCAGTCCCCTTCAGTAGTGACCGCTCCTAGGGGCTGTGGCCCCCATGTGCTCATAGGAAGCTTCTAACCCCACCAGCCACTGAGACAGGATAGCCCCAGAGCTGCCACCAGGAAAGTCAGATGACTTCGGGCCAGAGGCTGGAAGCCTGCGGCCGGCCCTGCTGTGTGATTGTGGGCAGCCCCCAGCGTCTCTGGGCCCCAGCTACCCCCGCTGCAGAGCCAGGAGGGCTTGGGCTGCTTGATCTGGAAGGTCCTCCTCCATACCGACGCTGTATAACTATAAACCTGGGCTTTTTACAGTTTATGATTCTGCGGTCGTGGCTAAGTTTGCCAGAGTCCAGCAGACACGGGAACAGCCTGAGTCACTATTTTGTCTCTTGGCGCAAGTCTCTGGGGATATGGCAGTTGTGGTGTGTGGGGTCAGATGACCTACCTGACTCTCTTTGCAGTTCTTCCTGGTCCCTCCTGGACTCTTGGTCTAGAACTTTTTGGCTGAGAACCTCATCGAAGGAAGGCTTCTGGGACGGGAAGCAGCCTCCCTCAGTCCAGATCTGACTCTAGAATTCCTGCTTCTTTACAAAGTCAGCAGCCTGTCCTCTCCCTGCTTACCCCAGCCTCACGAGAGGAAAAGCTGGCCCTTGGTTCTCACTTTGAGTTGTCCTTGGTCTTCACTTTGCACTTTCCCAGGAGGCCAGAGTGTCTGCTAATTAACCCAGAGCACGGCTCTGCCAGCGCGGGGCTTGCATGTCCGTTCCCGCGGGCCGGACCGCTCAGCTAGTCCCAGACTCCCTTCTTGCTCAGCAGAGCCCATGGCTATCCTCCACCTCCACTGGAAGCCCCCAGATTCCACGGGTACCAGGACCGCTTTCATTTTCACAGGTGACTTTGTAGGTGGGGTCCCTCCAGGCCCCCGCGGTCACCTTCCTGCTCAGGCCGCTGGCTCAGAAGCCCCAGGATTCCCCACCTGATCCCAGCACTGATCTAGGAACCTAGGGCAGGAGATTGACTTGCTGGCTTGGGGCTGGAGTTGGGGAGAGAGGGGCCCTTCCCCATGTCACATTACTTCTCTGGCTCCTGCCTGAGCCTCTATTTGCCTCTCTGGCCCAGTGGGGAGGAGCTGTCGAGTAGCCTGTGCTAGAGGCATCATCTCGGTAAGGGACTTGTAGCTCAGAATCACCCAGGGTTACCCATGTGGCGCCCCCCCCAGCCCCCACCCCACCCCCTCAGACATCCATAGAGCATCTGCCTATGAGGCCTTCCTCCCACCTTCTTGCCCTCTGACCCGGTTTGGAGCCATGGGTGTGGCTTTTGGCCTTAACAGGTGTTTTGTGGACCCATGGCTCAGGCGCACCTTGGGTCCATGCCCCGGGACAGCCCAGAGCCCCTGGAAGGGCCAGCCTTCTTCCTGATGGGGTGCTGGACACTGGCCATTTGTGCCCGATGTTGCCGGTCAGGGACACTTCTGTCCCCTTCTCTCACCAGGCCTCTAGATCTGGAATCCCGAGCAGCTGTGGGCCTCTGTCCCCAGCAGCGATTTCCACCCGAGGCCCAGAGCAGTCACATGCTGCTCTCTGGGGGTTCCAGACCCACTGGTGGCCAGGCTCTCCGTCCCTCTGCCGACCCTAGCAGCGGCCCTGGCCTCTTCCTCACAGCGTCCCCTCCCCACTCTGTGCTGATGGCACCGAGGAGAATGCCAGAGTTCCTGGTAATATTTTGAGTAACGTCTAGGAAAACATGTGTGTCCTCCTTTCCCCTGAAATGCTTTTCTGTTTGACAGCCAACTTCCTAGACGACAGGCACACCTGGGCTTTCGGGAACCTGTCTTTCCTCTAAGGGTAAGAAGGTTGGGGGTGCCCTGGCCCCCCAGGAGAGGCAGCCTCTCCCTGGAGAAAAGCCCACTGCAAGCCCTGTGCAAAGCTACCCGGTTCCCAGCGCAGCCCTGCCTCCGAGTCAGGGGAATCCAAGGGGACGCAGGCGCGCCCCCTGGTGGCGGGGAGCTGCAAAGGCATGTGAGCGCCCCGCCCCCCGCTCCCCCCACCCCCCGCCCCCAACTGGCCAAACAGGAGCTTGGAGCGGGCCAGCTGGGCCGGAGCGGAGGAGGGGGCTTCGATCTCACCTGGGCTCTGGGCTTCAGCCCGGTATTATCGGCAGCGTGTCTCCCAGATGCCCCTCTTCTAAGTCTCCCTCCCGGGGTAGCAAGTTAATTAGCATAAGGGCACCGTGATGGGAAGCCTTGCCCTCTACCCATTTTTTTAATATCTGCGGAATAAACCCAATGGTTGATTTTTGAATGAATAAAAGGCTTTTGTTGAATAAACAGCTGGTCCCATCTTCTGTCTTGGCATCTAGGCTCAGGCTCTGTCTACTGCCCGGAACTGGGACAAACGCAGAATACCCTCCAGCCCTCCCTTCCTCCCACCCCCTCCCCCTTGTCCCGAAGCGTGTACATTTCCGTTTTCCCCACGTCTTTGCAGGGGTCTTTGCAGGGGCCTGGGGCTCCACGGAGGGCCATACGCTCTCAGTCTGACTCAGTGACCGGCTTTCTCTGAGACTCGGGGCAAGTGGCTCCTTGCTCAGTTCCTCTGTCCCTCGGATGGGAGCAGGGGTCTGCTCAGCTCCCCCGACCCCCGCCCCGGGAGGCCAAGCAAGGAGTGGAGAGCGGGCACGAGCATGGGGCTCAGAGCACCTTGCAGAGGTGGGAGGCCGTGGGGCAGTCTGTGTTGTCCCGGTGCCCCCACCCGGTGCCTGCAACTTTGTAAAGGAATTTCGGCAACTTTTAACCAAAAAAAAAAAAAAAAAAAAAAGCAATGTTTCCTGGCTATGGTTGTATTCTTTCTGTTTGCCTTTCCAACCCCCTCTGAGCCTCTTTTTGGGGTGCCGTCCTGTCTGAATCCACTGGTTTGTGTCTCTGGGGAAGCAGCAGGCCCTCGCCCTGGAGTGCAGGTGGGGGCGGGGTGAGGCCCCAGGGTGGAGAAGGGCCCCGCAGTGCGCCCAGGCCTCCTCTCCTGATGTATGTCTTCCATGTCACGCCAATTAAACACGCTTCCTGACTTGTCCTCGCCTCCCTTGTGTGGACCTGTTGCTTTGTCTGTTTCTGTTCTTTTTCGTTTCATTTTTAGGCTTCCTCCTCCTCCTGTGACACCCTTCCTCCTGCTTTGGGTGTTGTCTGTCCAGTGTCCCCAAGATAGAGACTGTGTAAGACGAGAGCCTTGGGCGTCATGATGAAATAGAACATTTCAGGGCGTGTGGTGGGAAGCCCGGAGTTCACCAGGGTGAGCCCCTCACCCTGCTGTCTCGCTCCCAACCAGCATGTCCATTCCTGCCTCTGTCCTCTCCTGGGGCTCTCTAAGGGGTTTCTCTAAAGGTTTTCCACGGTGTGGAAAGAGACTAGGGGCCTGGACTAGTTCTGGTCGGGGGTGGGGGGCAGGGGTTGGCTGTGTCAGGACCACCCAGAGGGCCAGACTTGCTTCCAGAGTTGCTGATTAGCTAGCACCCCGCAGAACGCCTCGGCCTAGCAGGGTCTGGAATAAAGACTAGAACTCCTCTAGACACGTGACAGCAAGTCAAAGACCATGTGGGAAGGCCGTGTGGGGTGGTCGTTAGGGACGCAGATTCCAGAATCAGACCTGGTTCCCAGCCATGTTCCACCACTTGATTTTAGGCCAGCATTCTAACTGATGGGGTTTTCTGGCAAAGATGTGGGTCCCCAATCAGAGGCAGATGATGGCTCCACAGACATACCACCCCCATACCCACACCTCCCCACGCCCACCAGCAACCTTGCCACCAGAAAGAATGTCCAAATATTTACTTGCAAGTAGGTACCAAGGATCCACACACCTATACCCATCTCTACAAGGAGTGGGGGGGACAAGGACCCCAGGGCCCTGCCCCAGGGCAGAGCTCTGATGGGGGAGGGTCCCATGTCTCTCTCTCTTTTTTTTTTAAGATTTTATTTATGTATTTGACAGAGAGAGAGAGAGAGATCACAAGTAGGCAGAGAGGCAGGCAGAGAGAAGGGGAAGCAGGCTCACTGCTGAGCAGAGAGCCCGATGTGGGGCTTGATCCCAGGACCCTGAGATCATGACCTGAGCCGAAGGCAGAGGTTTAACCCACTGAGCCACCCAGGCGCCCTGGACCTCATGTCTCTTGAGCCCTTTTAGCAGCAGATGTGGCTACATGAAATAAAGGACTACATTTCCCAGCCTCCCTTGTAACTGAGTTTGGCCACATGACTCAGTTCTGACCAATGGGGTGAGGGCAATGAGCATGACTCTTTCAAAGCCCTTTCCCTCTGGTTGGACCAAGGACTCCGAAACAAACCTTCCTGAAACCAGGGT